TGGCACAGAGCACTGCAGGCACTCCCTGTCCCCTCCCAGCTCACACCACCCATTCCCACCTTCCAGATGGAATCCCACTTTTTTACACCAACTGGAGTGGTCCAGCTTCCAGCTGGGATGGTGTGGGCAGGAAAAGGGCAGAAACAAGGGATGGGGGGGAGGATGGGAATGGGAACAGCCCCGGGATACACCCAAATCCTGAGCAGGCTGCTACAGCTCCTGCCCAACAGGCAGTGTTATTACCATGTGTTAGGCAATAAATACACACAAAACAAGCTGCTCCAAAAGCATTTCATGCCCTAACTGTCACCTTTTACCTCTTGGCCTGAACTTCTCTTGCAAGACAGGCTCAAGTTGAAACCTGCAAGCCAATATTTACCAGCTGGGTGCTTAATTTGGAGTTAAAACCCGCACCAAAGGATGAAAAACAAGCATTTTAGTATGCATTTAATGCAATGCAAGCATTTAAATGGAACACAAAGCTACCAAATACCTGAAGAACTAAAATTAAAGAAAAGATTTTACAGGAAAATCTTCATTTGAGATTCCAGCAGCACACATTAATGCAGTGAAAGGCTTCTGAGAGGCTCTGCCCGGGCTTGCATATCAATAGAAATGTACCAAAATAGCTATTCCAAAGTAATTATCCTAATGATAATCCACAATTAAAATGCTTTCTAATGGGACTTGCAATAAAAATGTAATTGGTGATTAGGCCAAGATGCTGGTGCTTGTGCAGACAGCAATTTTTGGGCTGTGAAGATCAGCACAGACAAATGTGATTTTGGAATCCAAACGGGAGATTCAGACAGAGGCAGAGCCCAGCTTCAGGCTGAGAGCAGCCCAGAAGTGACACAACACTGGAAAAGCACAGGAGAGTCACTTCACTCCTTCCCCAAGCACAGGAGCTAATGAAATTTAGTCCAGCCTAAAGGTCTGAGCCCTGCCTAAGGCAGGTGAAAGGTCTGACCTTCACCTGGGTCAGGGAAAACAACTGGAGCTTTGCAAAGGAGGTTGGGAACATGGATAAGAACATTCCTAGATGGGCAGAGGAGGCCACCAAGGTGATCACAGGGATGGAGCAGCTCTCCTGTGAGGAAGGGCTGGGAGAGCTGGGATTGCTCAGCCTGGAGAGGAGAAGGTTCTGGGGTGACAAATGTGACATAGAAGGGAACTTCAGGAGAGCTGGAGAGGGACTGGGAATGGAAGGACAGGACACAGGGAATGGCTTCCACTGCCAGAGGGCAGGGATGGATGGGAGATTGGGAAGGAATTCTGCCCTGTGAAGGTGGGCAGGCCCTGGCACAGGGTGCCCAGAGCAGCTGTGGCTGCCCCTGGATCCCTGGAAGTGCCCAAGGCCAGGCTGGACAGGGCTTGGAGCATCCTGAGATAGTGGAAGGTGTCCCTGCCCAAGGAATGAGATGGGATTTAAGCACCCTTCCAACCCAAACCATTCCATGGTTCTAAATTATCCTCAGATGTTGGAGTCCTGGGTGCTGAGAATTTCAGAGTTTCTGTGCTGATAGGCTCTGACCCCCAAAAGAACACTGCATTGACCTGAGGCTGTGGAGAAGCTTCCAAAATTAACTGACAGCACTAAAATGATGAGTGTGTAGTTTGAATAGAAGTGTGTAATATCACAAAGTGAAAAGCTTAAAGTTTTAGAATATAATAATATATATAACACAAGACAGAAGTTTTAAGTTTAAAGACAGGAGCTGGTCCTTCTTTACCTTCCTCTTCACCTTCTTCTTCATGGGTTTGGGTGGCAGAACCAACACTCAATATGTGTAACAACATCTCTCCCTCCCATTCACCCACAAATTCAACAAGATCACCACAGATCAACTTCCATGGAAAAAAATACATTCCAAGTAACAATACATGAGTGTGTACAGTAAAAGGAGACATCCCAAAGAGATTTACTTTAAAGCCAACACTCTGCCTTATCACAGACCAAGGAATTCCAGGATTCTGATGGCAGATAAAACCCCTTCCAATTAAATACATCCTGCCACAATACCTTGCTTTGTATTAGGCAGAAATACAGATTATAAAGCCTTCTCCCTTAAAGAACCACCCCTGTGGTACCAACACAGCTCAGAGCTCCTGCTGGGGCAGCTGAATCTCTGTTCCAGCCTGGAGGAGGGACTGTCTCTTCCCAGACAGGCTCCCAGGGAATATCAGTGCTGACAGGAGCAGCTTGTTGCACCAGCTGCTGTGCTACATTTAGATAATAAATGTGTTTAACTACACAGAGAAGAAACAAAATTATGTCACATCCACCACAGACCTGCTCAGCCAAGCATCCCTAAGATGCATCTTTTCCATTTACCTACTCACAGGACACCCTGCAACCACAGCACCCAGCCACTCTAATGAGGAGGCTGAGCTCCAGTCCTTAATGAAATTAGCACGGATAATTTGGAATTTCCCTGGACAAGGGCTCTGTTTTCAGCTCTGCAACCAGCAGGATCTGCCTAATGATGCAGCAGCATCCTGGGAGCTGCACCAGCTTCTTCTCAAGGTGGTAACCTGAGGACAGAATGTGTCAAATGAGCTCTGGTGGGGTCCAGCTGCAGGTTTCCTACTAATAAATGGGCATTTAAAAGGCAAAAAACCCCCAATGACATCTTCTCTCCTTAGTTTTGATTTAAAAGAGTGAACGGTCAAAAAATACTTTTCTTTATTAATTTTCTTTTCCAAAAGGCACCACTGGTGTCCTTAATGGAAAAGCATGTAAAAAACCATCCCAAAAACCAAACAGCACACAAATATCAGGGATGAAGGTGCTAACAGAAAGTGCCAGTATGGCTTGTGAGAGCTTGGCAGACATTCCTTCTGAAATCTCTCCCTGCAACATATGGGATGTTCCTCACTGATAAGTTTTAAGTTGTTATTTAAAAGAAATAAAAAAAAAAAAAAGGAAAAGAAAAAATAAAGATACTTCAATCTAAAATGATGCTTTAATTTGCAAATTTTGAGCAGAATGCACAATTTATACCAATAATTAGCATTTTAAAAGGCTATGCAATGCTGTCTGGTATTTCTTGAGGACATGAGTGAGATTTACTGAAGCACATGAAGTCTTGTGTCCCTTTTTGAGAAAGTATTTCATATGCTGGGCTGCCAATTAGAGCAGGACTTATGGAATGAGCAACTCTGCACCGTGACCTGAGCTGAAGTTAATCCACCCACATAACCCCTGTATCTATGGAAAATGGAGGAGGGAGAAAGATAAAGCAGAAAAAATTGATGATTCCAAGGCTGAAGATTTATTTCTGGTCTGTTAAAAAAGCAGCTTATACTGAGGCTATCAGCATTCCCAGTGTAACTCGTCCCCCAAAAATTGAAGTTTTTCCATTTATTTTGGTGACTAACTTTGAGCCAAGGGCTGTGGATCCTTTTTCTCTCTGCTTTGGACTGCTGGCTCTTAAACAAAGTGAATAACAGAGCAGCGAAGTGGCAGGAAAGGGGGTGGGGAGCTGCAGGGTGGTGCTTTGAGGTGACAAATGACACAAAAGTGACATCAAAAGGTTTACCCTGCCACCCCAGAGGAGGCTGGAGTGGCACAAAGAGCTGTGGGGACACAAGAGGCTGATGACACGATGGCACAGGGCACACAAGCACTGACCTAGAGTGACAAAGAGAGGGTGACAAAGCTCCCACCACAAAATCCCAGCAATCCCAGCTCTTCCCACAGGAGCCACTGGGTTTGTCAGTGTTTCTGTCAGTGCTGAGGGAACCTGGAGCTATTTGGGACACAGCTACTGAACCTCCCAGATCTGTAATTAACACCTTTTTAGCCTCCTGCTCCAGCTAATGAGGGGTTCCTCAGTGCCACCTTGTCCCCCACACAGCTGCCACCAGGACTTGATAATTTTTCTAAGATTCAAAACCATCTTTTCAGGTGCATCAAATCACAGACTGCTTTGGGTTGGAAAGGACTCAAAGCTCATGAAGTTCCAACCCCTGGCATGAAGGAGGATGCCACCCACTAAACCAGGGCTCCAACCTGGCCTTGAACCCTGCCAGGAATGGAGCAGCCACAGCTCTGGGAAACATCATTCCCAAGAGCCATTTGCAAACCAAAAGACATTCAGTGAGGAGATTTCACAGCCTTTTGGGTCACATTTTGTTTTTTAGCCAGCCTCTGTGCACAGAACTCCAGGAGTCCCACAGTAACAGCTTCATTCATGGAGGGCTTCTGTCCTGCTAGGAATGACAACATTCCTGTGTCTCCCCATTCCCCCTCTTTCACAGGATGCAATTTGCACTATTCCAACATCCAGCTCTGAGATTAACTCCAAAATTAACTTTCCCGTACCACTTAATTAAAAATGTTCTGCTCAGTTCCTTCCCAGCTGCTGCACACTGAATTCACCCAGGTACCTCTGAGGAACAACATTCCCCAAATGAGAACTCTCTCCCTGCTCAGCAAAGCCACCAACCACAGGAGCCAGAATCTCACACAGAATCCTTCAGGCTGGAAAAGACTTCCAAGGTCAACGAGTCCAAACCCCACCTTGTCCCCAGCCCAGAGCACTAAGTGCCACCTCAAGGTCAATGAGTCCAATCCCCACCTTGTCCCCAGCCCAGAGCACTAAGTGCCACCTCCTTGGACACCTCCAAGAATGGGGACTCCAAACCTCCCTGGGCAACCAATTCCAATCTTAACAACCCTTTCCATGGAGGAATTCCAGCTGATGTCCAAGCTGAACCTCCCCTGGCACAACTTAAGGCTATGTCCTCTTCACCATTTCCCCAAAAGTCACAAGTGCTGGTGATGAAATCAGAATAAATCTTTGCTCTTCTGGCTCACAGCTGCTCTCCCTAAATCCACACATCCCAATTAACATACAAAAATATTGTACCCACAACACAAAGAATAATGACTCAGGAGAAGAGGAGGAGAAGGAAAACAGGGAAAGATTCAGCCCAAACCAAAGGCTCTGCTGCCACTCACATCAAGGCTGCTTCAAACACTCCAAAGCACTCACATGGCTGTGTTTTTGATGATCCTTCCTTGGTCCATCTTCTGCCCAATGCCATGCACAACAAACACAATGTGGCTGGTCTGGGGTGGCTTGTCTTCCAACGTGGCTTCCTCTACATAGCCTCTGTGTAGCCTTGTGCCACTGCTTGAAGCTGCAGAAAGAACATTATCCCACATCAGTGACGTTCTGCCAGGTGCAGTGCTCTCCTCTGCTGACACAAGCTTGGCTTTTCTCAGGCCAACACGTTGAAAATCAGATTATACAATAAAGAATCATAAAATTAAAGGATTAGCACCTATTTTTAAATATAGGCACTTTTAAAGCCCTGAAAGATTTGAGCAGCCAGGTGATATCAATAGCCACTTCCACTGCAAAGGGAATTAATTTCAGGTATGCTTTGGAGAACAGCTCTTCAGAAAACAGTTGTGTAACTGTGCACCCACTTTTACAGCACAAAACCCTCCTCCTGGGATCTCTCAATAAATGAAATTCCTGCTGTCTCCACCTTACTCCCACAGCATGGAAGGATCATGGAAGTGACCTGCCACATAAGTGATTAAGTGCTGTCACTTTATCCACCCCATTTAAAAGAGCTGGTTGAAAACCTTTAAAATTTATCATTTTTATAGGGAAAACTTGCTTTATTTTGAACTGATCCAACCTGAAACTCCCCCCTTGTTCTCCAGCTCAGTGACCAAACCCAAAATCAATTCTCCAGGGCAAATGTGGGTATTTTCTCCCTGCTGTGCTGACAAACCCATGGGCACAATGTGCCTCCATCCCCCTCTAGTGACACTCAGGGGACCACACCAGGCACCAGCACTGGCCTCAAAAACTGGAACTAACAGCTTATTTTGGTTTTAAAGAGGAGGAAAACACCCCAAACCCACCGAGGGCATTTTTCACCCAAGACAGGTTTTGTTTATGAAGTGACTTTCTCTTTGATACTACTCCCCCACAAATTGTTTAGGATAGATCTCATTATTTATTACACATTATCCCAATGGTGTTCTGGATAAATTACTTCATTTCTTCTGGAACTGAAGCACTGAATGATAGTATTTTTTTAGAAAACATTAATTAAGTGTTCACCCAGGATTCCTGGGGGGTAAGAGGGCATTAATTACAGGGCAGAGGATGCAGAATAAAGTCAGACCTGTGACCTGACCTTGCCTCTTCAAGGAACAAACCAGATGTGCAGGTTCTCGTTCTGGTGTCCTGCACAGGACAAATTCTCATTTTCTAGGGTGGAAATAATCTGCTTTTTCCTTGAGAGAGTCCCCATCTCTTCCAACCATCTCAGTTTTGCTGTCTGACTAGGACTGTTAAATTTAAACAACTCTGAATTTGTACTGGAAATAATTTCTAAATGCCCTTTCCTGTCAGTTCATGCTTCTGTTTCATGAACAGAAAAAAAGGCTGGATGGAGGTGGGGAGAGGGAAGGTATGGTCATGTATTTAAGGAATGCATCACAATGTCTAAGTACCCAGCAGTAAAATAAAGGTTGCAAAAGGAAATTAAATCCTTATATTGTTACAGGAATAATTCCTAATTCACAGTAGCTTCTGGACTCTATCACTGTAATATTTTTATGTATTTGTTATGTAGTGTTATCTGCTGCATCCAAAGCCATCAAAATATGGAATAAAATTAAAATACAATAAATCAAATATGTAATGTAAATAAAATAAAAATTAAAAACATTAACATCCAAATAGAATAAAATTAAAAAATATTCACATCTAGTTACAATGATTTACACAAGCTAAGGACTCTGAATACTCATATAAAGTAAAAAATGCAATGGCTAAAGTGGGCTACTCACATTAAGACCCGAAATATCCTTTTGGAGTTAAAGCAACAAACTTGCAAATGCTGGCATTTACAATATTCTTTACAAAGGCTGGGAAAGATTTACCTTTGGAAAACCCCAATTTTTGTGTGACAGTCCTTGCAATTTTGGATGTTGTGGCATCACTGTACAGATACACTTCATCCACACTGTGCCAGTCCACATGGTTACGGCTCAGCTTTAGACTATGAATAGCTGCAGCAAAAAGGAATAAATAAATTGAATTTAGGTGGGGAAGAGGGGAAAAAAAAACCCCAAAGAGAGAGAAAGAAGGGTGATTTACACACAGGTTAAAATCTAGAGCTCCACTATGCCTAAATTTGTGTTATTTCTTACCTTGAGGAATTTTTACAGCTGGGTTTAACCTGAGCAGGACAAGCAGCAGTTTGAAGACCACCCGTGAGGACACTTCACAAAATTCCCCTCCCACCCTCATTTTGGGGTGGGAAGTACCCAAAATATTCTTTTAATAAGGGCAGGGTAATGGATCCTGAAACACCAGAGGTGGGTGTGATGAGCAGGTGGCTGCCCCGGGTATTTTCATCATTAAAAAGTGGAATTTCAGCCCTCTCTCCCACGAGAGCTGCTCTGCTCTAACCCAGAGGCTCCCCTTGCATTTCTCCCCTTTCAGAAACATCTCAGAGCTGGAAATGCAGCTCAATGAGCCCCTGAATGAGGAATTTCTGGCACAGAACAGAATGTAGCTCTTTGAAAAGCCACTAAGAGCTCTGGTGGTTGGGTTTTTTTTCTGTGCACTGATTGTGTTTTTCCAGATTTGGAACTGATTGAGCTCGGAGCCCGACCTCATGACACACAGCCTGTCAGGATTAAACAACAGCCACGTTGTGATGCAGATCAGAATCATCTCGGGCTTGGAGCTTGCAGGAGCCAAGCAGCGCCACAGCTGAGTTACAATAATTTGGATTTCACCAAAATTTGCTGCCGAGGTCTTGTCAAACATGGGGTGCAGAGCTGACAACAGCAATAGCCCTGTGACCAAAGAAATGGTGATTTATCTGTCACTGCTCTTGCTGGGAAGTCCAAAGCCATGGGAAACACCCAGAGGGGCTGTTTTGGGATTGTTTTTTCCACAGCAAGCAGAGCTCTAACCTGTCTCCTCCTTGAATCACCCAAATGAATTGTTTATACTCTTCTAAAAACATTCTGAGAAAGGCTGAGCCATCACAATTCCCAATTTTAACTCTGCTACAGCACAAACCAGCCAGGCTCAGCCAGATGTTGTGACCTTTCTCCAGCCATATTTTTTGTTTCTTTGCCAAAGCAGCCAGACTTGAGACAGACTGATGAAAAACTGAACGAGATCTGTAAGGAACAGGGGGATTAAGAGAGGATTAGCCCTTGTGCTGTGGTAAACAACTGATTCACCAAAAGAACTGGAATTACATCCTTGTTTTACACTGGCAGAGCAGGAAGAGGAAAGAAATAAGCCTGACTTTGAAGAGCAGAGAAGGTGTGTCCAGGAGGTTTTCAAGAATTGTTCCACCTGCATTCTGCAAAATCCCTCTGAGAGTATGATCCTGGGGAAGCTGGCAGAGGAGGGGTGGAAGTTTGATGCCTTTGGAGGGTGCTGTGTTCAACATCCAAAAAAAAAAAGAAGAGGAAAAGATGTGGTTGAATCTCTTATTACCACAGGAAAAAAAGCAGTTTGTGGTGGAGTGAGCCTCAAATTCCTTCTGGAATCAAGTCCAGCCCCTATATTGGAAGGAACATAAAGGAACAAGTAGCTTTTCCCTACCCTGCATCAATTATTCCCACTTGGGAAGAACAAATTCCTCACTTTTATGCTGTTCATGGACGTGGAAGGAACACCAACATCAACAACAAGATGTGGAAGCACCAAAGCACTTCAAATGAAGTTGAGCAGGGCCAAGTGTGAGGTTCTGCACCTGGGCCAGAGCAATCCCAAGCACAAATTCAGGCTGGAGGGAGAATGGACTGAGAGCAGCCCTGAGGAGGATTTGGGGGTGCTGGTGGATGAGAAGATCAGCCACCTGTGTCTGCAGGGCAAATGTGCCCTGGGCTGCATCCAAAGAAATGCCACCAGCAGAGAGCTCAGTCTGGAGAAGAAAAGGAACCAGGGAGAGCTCAGAGCTGTTGGAACCTGGGAATTGCTGAGAATTCCAGACTTTCTGTGCTGACAGGCTCTGACTCACCAGCAGAGAGCTGGGGCTGCTCAGTCTGGAGAAGAAAAGGAACCAGGGAGAGCTCAGAGCTGTTGGAACCTGGGAATTGCTGAGAATTTCAGCGTTTCTGTGCTGCCAGGCTCTGACCCCCAAGAGAACACTGCACTGACCTGAGGCCATGGAGAAGCTTCCAAAATGGAATGGCAGAACTGGGATTGTGGGTGTGGAGTTTGGATGGAAGTGTGTGATATCACAGGGTGGAAAACTCACAGTTTAAGGGTTTAGAATACAGTAACAAGTATAAAACAAGATAGAAGTCTTAGGGTGGTAGCTGCTCCTTCTTCTTCACGGGTTTGGGTGGTTTTGTATAATTGGATAAAAAAGTCCCCATTGCAGGCAGGGATGGTTGGTTATTGGGTTAAAAGTGAAAATAATTGAGGTGTCATTTCTTAATTGGACAGTTTATCCCTAAAAGGCCTTGTAGAGAGAGAGATGGGGCTCCATTTTTAGTTTGTTAGAGTGAAGTGCTGGAGAACTCAGGGTTTGTGAGACTGTGACAGAGATAAGAACTGATAAACATCTGAGTCCCAACAAGAAATACCATCTTGAGCATTTAATGCCAACCCTGGAGAAAAAAAGAAGATAAAACTCGACACAGAGCCCCTTGCAGGGCCTAAAGGGGCTCTCAGACAGCTGGAGAGGGACTGGGGACAAGGCATGGAGGGACAGGACACAGGGAATGGCTTTTAACTGGAAAATGGTAGATGGAGGTTGGATATTGGGCAGAAATTCTGCCCTGTGAGGGTGGGCAGGCCCTGGCACAGGGTGCCCAGGGAAGCTGTGGCTGCCCCTGGATCCCTGGCAGTGCCCAAGGCCAGGCTGGGCAGGGCTTGGAGCAGCCTGGGACAGGGGAAGGTGTCCCTGCCATGGCAGGGTGGAACTGGATGAGCTTTAAGGTCCCTTCCAAACCAAACCATTCTGAGATTCTAGGGAATATTCAGCAGCATTTCTCTGCATATTTAGGAGCATTTTCAAAAGACATCCTTAAAAATTTGGTGTACTGTTAACAAAACAGCACCTGAAAGTGGCAGTGACCTTCAGCAGGACCAAACCTGCTCAAGCTCAGATGAATTTCTTACAGCACCTGATCTAGAATTCTTCATTTCTACACAGACACAGAACAAAATGAAACAAAAAATTCATGTGTTGGTCCTTGCCTCCCAATTTTCCTTTAGCCACAAAATATCAGGAGTTTTTTAGGTAAGTGGCAGGATCCAGAAGAGGGATATGGACAAAGCTTTCCAGAAAATCTAACAATTTGCCAGTAAGGTGATACATTTTGCAATTTTAATTGACATATTTACATTCATTTTGGTTCTCTCAGTAAGTTTTGCTTACCAACACATTCTGTGCTTTCCTTTGGAGCATTTTTTGCCTTTTCTTTCTTTTGCCAAAAAATCTTTGGTAAGATTCTTGTCTCAATTTTTTAATTTCTATAAACCCTGTGATGTCTGTTCATCCTCAAAGCCTGGATGAGAAGTCCACAAACTTTTTGCCTCAGGCTGGACAGGGCTTGGAGCAACCTGGACTTGTGGGAGGTGTCCCTGCCCATGGCAGGAGGCTGGAATGAGATGGGCTTTAAGGCCCCTAAATATTTCTGGGATTTGATTCTGCGATTATTTGACAGTGAAGATATTATTAAAACCCTTGAGAGTTCAATCAAAAAGAGCTTCTGCTGCTGACAGCCCCAGGGGGTGTTAATAGTGAGACAGGGAACACAAAAATGTGTCTTTGGGGAGGATTTGACAGCAGTCTGAAAAGAAACAGCCTAAAAAAAAAAAAAAAAAACAAAATAAAATATTCCAAGTGTGCTTTCGAAGGCATGGGATTTTACAGACTGACACTGCTGGCTTGAAGCTGAGCCTGAGGAAGGGAAAGTGATGTTTCCTGAGGATGAGGAGAGGGCAGGACTGGCATTGTCTGTGCAGAAGGACTGTCCTGGGGGCAGCTGGGGGTGTCACCAGGGAGCCACCAGGGCATGTCACAGCCTGGCTGAGAATTCAGCAGCAGAATTCAGAGGCAGCAGGACAGGCACAGGGGAATCTCTTCATGCTCATCCCTCTGCATCCTCCAGGAGCACAAATCCCACACCTGAGGGGTCTCCCCAGGGCAGCAGGCTGGGATGGTGCTGAGATTCACTGAGATCTGACTGTCCAGGACATCTCTGCCATAAATCCACAGGGACAGAAAACTCCTCTGGACCTGACTTCTCGTGGATTTGTTCCCAGGTGTCACTTCCCTGACAGTGACATCATTCCCACAGACATCCCCCTGTAGGTGCCTCTTCCCCAGATGAAAAAAAGCCCTGCAGAAAACCCCTGCACACTTTTCTGGAGAAGAGAAGGCTCTGGTGAGACCTGGCAGCAGCCTCCCAAAACTTGGAGGAGGATTTTAAAAGAGGGAGGACAACTTTTTACATGGGGAGATAGAGAGAGGACAAGAGGGAAGGTTTTCAACTAAAGGAAGAGAGATTTAGACTAGATTTAAGGAAGAAATTCCTTACTGAGGGTGGTGAGGCTCTGAGGTTGCCCAGAGAAGCTGTGGCTGCCCCTGGATCCCTGGAAGTGTCCAAGGCCAGGCTGGATGGGGATTGGAGCAGCCTGGGATAGTGGAAAGTGTGGAATGAGACGGGATTTAAGGTCCCTTCCAGCCCAAGCCCTTCTGGGATTTTAGTTAGGGATTAAAGGCCAAGTCCTTGGAGATGAGGCCAAATTTTGGGTTCTTTTGTAGCCAGAACTCAGAAATGAAACATTTCAGTTAGGGATTAAAGGCCAAGGACGGAGATGAGGCCAAATTTTGGGTTCTTTTGTAGCCAGAACTCAGAAATGAAACATTTCTCAGGAACACCAACCAAGGCAGACTCCTACAGTGTGAGCATGTGAAAAGCTCAGCCCTGCTGGAGATGGAAGATGGGATCAAGAAAGGATTTCTTTCAGCTGAAGAAATCAGTGGTTGCTATCACACCAACTCCAGTTTCACCAAGAGAGATGA